ATTTGGAAGAAGGATGTTTTAGCTTGGGTTGTTATAACAAAATGTGTTGGATCAAGTAGCTTAAACAACAGACATTTATTTTCTCATAGTTCTGGAAGCTATGAAGGCCAAGATCAAGGTATCAGTCCATTCAGTTCCTGGTGAGAAGTCTCCTCCTGGCTGGCAAGCTGGCTGCCTTCTTGCTGTGTCCTCACATGGCAGGGAGAGGAAGCGCTGGTGTCTCTTCCTCTTCTTCTAAGGGCACTCATCCTTTCATGGGGCTCCACCCTCATGACTTCATTATAACCTAATTAGTTCCCGCTTGCTCATATCATCACATTGGCGATTAGAGCACCAACATATGAGGAACACGTATGTTTTGAGGGACACAAAACACTCAGCCCGTACAGGTGACTTAAATGGAAGACAAGATGGAAACAGGAAAAGGCAGCTGGGAAGTAAGTGTAATAATACAGAGGAGCACTGAGAAAAGCATGGATTAGAGTTGTGGTGTAGAATTGGGGTGGGTGGGAGATAAATCTATATGACATTTCAAAAGAATTATGGAATGTAGTGATTATCAACACGAAATTATGGATCAACATGGGTTACAAATGACTGAAACAAACCTGTGCACTAAGGTAATCATGCAGTTTTCTTGCTGGTTTTATTTTGCTTTTTGTAGCAATGGGAAAGGCAGATAGGTTTGCCTAGTTGAAGATACACCAATGGGAGAGTCCACTCTTGGCGGAATATTTTTAGCCAAGAACGTAGGTGAGAGGATGAAGTGTGTGACACGCACATTAGGGTGCATGCTGACTCAGGAATCCCTTCTACTCCAAGGAAGGTCTCCTCCAGCACCGATATGTTTGTGATTTAAGTGATATCATTCCACTGGCCACGGTTGAGTGAATCATCATCTCAGGGTTCAGATTTAAGATCCAACAATTCAAGTTAATCTCTGTGAGTGCCTTGAACTGAAGATGGGCAATCACAAAAGTTAAAAGACACAAAAACAGAGAAAGCTTGTCGCCAGAAAAAAAAATAGGGTACTAGACATAAAAAGGGCATACAGTCATATCTAGGTATCCACGGGGAACTGGTTTGAGGACCCCCGAGGATACCAAAATCCATGGATGCTGAAGTCCTTTATATAAAATGGCATAGTAGAGTCAGTCCTAGGTATCAGAGGTATTTCAATCCAAGTTTGGTTGAACCTGTGAATGCAGAACCCGGGGATACTGAGGACCAACTGTAGATCCTCAGATGGTCCTCAGGGGTGAGCAATTACGTGTGCCAGTGAGAGAGAACACTGAGAAAGAGGCCACCTTGGGTCCTGTCCTCTTTCCTAGCCCTTGGGTGCATCCCTTTTCCCAAGATCTACCATCCCTCTCCATCCTTTTCCCCTTTCTCTTCCTTTTTCCTTTCTGCTGAGAGAGCTTCAGTCCATTCCTATTTAAGACAAGAAGAGAAACTTGACTGAGACAAAGTGGTAGATAAGGAGGTGAACATACGAGACTAGATAAACATTTGCGGATAGCAAAGACTGGAGAAAACGAGATAAGCCAAGAAGCAAGAGATCCAGAAAAGTTGTGTTTTTGGAAGCCAAGAAAGTGGCCATTATAGTAAAGAGGCTAGGGTAGATTCCAATGGGAAAATTTTATAACTATAGTAAACTTGAGTGTTATCAAATATTTCTTTTTTCCTTTTGGT